CTGAAAAGTTTATGTTAATAAAGAGCAAAAGCCCGGCCCAAGCCCGGCCCGGCCCATGAACAGGTCTACCGCCCAGCGATGGGCCTCTCTTCTTTATCTTCTTCTTCAACCTCACCAGCCATAAATAGCCTCTCGGCAATGGACGCTTGGCGAAGATCTCACATCTCTCTCTCTCCTTCTTCTTTATCTTCTTCTTCAACCTCACCTCCCTCATTTTCTTCAGCAGCAATTTGGACCGAACCTCCCTCACCAGACAATCTAGGTTTCTGAACAATACAAGATGATAAATGTGCATCTGAAATCTAAACAATACAAGAAGATCGTTTCTAATCTGGGTTTCATATCACCCGAGTTTTGTGAAGGTTGGGACTGAGCATCACTGCCAACACCCCTAACATGCAATCCAAAGACCCTGTTACAAGCAAGATTCGAAGCTTAGTTCAACAGCCCAACACCAATGGCAGCAGCACAATGTCGGTCTTGACTTCATCTTCATCCAATGGTGATAACGATGATGAAGAGCAATCATTTTCGCCATTTGAGAATCAGAGTCCGACTGATGAAGATTTTCGAGTGGCGGGCAAGAAGATCATTTCTAATCTAGGTTTCAGATCATCAGAGTTTTGCGAAGGTTGGGACTTACCACCGCCACCACTTTCCGCTATTGTTGGTACTTTCCCCTGTGACACCGAAGAAGAGAACGAGAGGGAGAGGGTGAAGAAATGAGTTTCAGATCACCGGAGTTTTGTGAAGGTTGGGACTGAGCACCATTGCCACTGCTGTTGGTGCTTTCCCCTATGAGAGCACCACAACAGCCACTGCTGTTGGGACTGAGCACCACAATGCCACTTCAGCGGCACAACGCTAGTCTCGACTTCATCTTCATCCGATGATGATGACAATTATGAAAATCATTCCTTTTTGCCATTTGAGAATCCGAGATCCATTGGTGAAGATTTTCGAGTGGTGGGTTTTGGTAATTACAGCGAAGATTGGTTCTCCTGATCCAACTTCACCAATAGCTAGAGTGTCGTCCAACTTCACCACCGTTGCATCTCTGTGCAGGATTTGAACAAGAAGCAAACCATATACTCATTTTTTGGGGGAATGTATTAGTTCCCGTTAGAGTCAATGGCGTCTTCGGCAACGGTTCTATTGCCGCCAACATAGTCGCTCAGTTGCTCGCAGAGGATCAACAACAGGCACAACTCCCACAAGAGAAAGGGGTTTGAGTTTAAGGGTAAGACAGTCATTTTATATTTTCCTTGTATGTTTAGCTACGCTGGTAATGTTTAGACAATTGTCTGAAATAGTAAGGAGTATCAGTCAATTTTCAAAGAGTAAGGATACATTTAATCAATTAACTAAATCATAACGATAATTTAAGAAATTTACCAAAAAAATTAAGAGGTGGAGAAAGACTAAAGAATTATTTGGAGAGAGATTGAACAATGAAACATCTTTTAAATTGAGGGAAATTTGTCGATTTACCAAACTTGGTCACCTTTTATGCAAAAGTCAAAAGTCAAGGGAAAAGGTCATTTATTTAAACGCCCCTATAGCTCAGGGCAGATCTGCTCACAACAAAAGACTTTACACCTGCGCTTATGCCCACATGCACGCTTAACGTGCATTGGGAATATCTCCCGTACTTGTTACTGGGAGATGTTCCCAATACATTGTATTGACTG